GGCTGGTCTGTGTCAAAGGGGGGTGCAGCGTGTTCTTTTATGAAGAATAATCTGAGTCAAGTATCAATTTTAAACATTTATTATCACAATTGAATAGACTATCGAATAAAGCAATTTACAGAGCTCTGGGTTCCTCTCTATCTGAAGCCCTGACCATCAACAGCAAAACCGTTCAGCTCATCTTCAGGACAAGGGAACGCCTCCCCTCCTGGAAACCCAATTTCTTATACAATTTTGAAATGTGCAATGTGGGTTGATCTGGTGCCTCTCATGCTGTCCCATTGGTCCTTCGGTCCATAAGTCCTCTCTGGTCCAATCGTCCAAGACCGCGCCCTAGGAAGGGGAAGAAATCCTATACTGCCTGAATTCCTATAGACACACTCACTTCTTCCTATGTTTCCTACTACCTGCTCCATGTTACTAATTAAAACTGTCTTGCCTGTGTGTGTGTGTGTGTGTGTGCATGATGTTTCTACCTTTAAAGCTTTCTCCTCCACATGCGTCCAGATCTAATCTCTGTCTCACTAACCTTGGAAATCCAGTGACCTGCAACTCCCCTCACTTCTAGCCCAGTGGTGATAATAAATTCACTGTGGACTCTCTTAGCCAGAGCTGTAAATCTGATGAGATTCAGTAATTTAGTGGACAAGACACTATAATATTGAACAGTACTTCAGTGACTAATACAGTAAATATTAACCAGTGGTTCAGTGAACACATAAGGTGATATGTAACTATGTAAACATAATTGTGACATATAAGTATGTGAACTTATGTATTCTAAAATAAAATCTTAACTATTCTTTTTCTAATATGATAGACTAGTCAGACACATACAAAGTGAACACACAGGTTAAATAAGCAACAATCAGGGTGTCGGTACAAAATCATTCTTCTTAATGATGTCGTTCACAAAGGATTCATTAATTTTGAGTGTGGATCAGAGCAGCCCCTACCTACCACCACATCAAAATAACCCCACCCAGTTCACCTTATATTGGGTTGTGGTCCTGTGCTCTCTAAAAACCTAATAAGTGCTCTGTATCCTATATCCCCTGACCTTTGTCCCAACACCTCCAGTAAACTAAAGTTCATTCCACCTCTTGAAACAGTATTTTTCAATAATTTCCTCTCCCGCCTGAACCAGGGGTAGCTCAATAAAATATGTTCCATTGTTTTTTGTATTCTACATAGTTCACATTCCCCTGTAGTGTGTTTCTTGATTAACTTCAATGTACTATTTAAACCAGTATGCCAAAATCTCAATCTTGATACCACATCTTCTTCCTTCCTATTTCCAGTACTTCCTCTCATTTCTCCTACTTTCCTTTGAATGTTATAATACAACTGACCCTTGCCATCTTTATCCCACAGTTATTGCCATTTCTCTTTCAGTTTCCTTTTAACTAAACTCTTAACCACAGCCTTACTATGACTTCCTTCCACATATATGTCTCTTTTTTTAAGCACAGCTTTTGCAAGTTTATCTGCTGTTCATTTCCTTCCACGCCAATATGTGCTGGTATCCACACTAGCCTAATATTTATTCCAGCCCTCTGACATCTGAATAGTATACAAGCTATTTCCAGTATTATGTCTTGCCTTGAGTCTGACTGGATGTTTTGAATACTCAGTAAAGAACTGCTGGAATCTGATCCAGTGAGGACTTTCAATGGTTTATGTTCCGCTACCCATTCTAATGCTAGTACAATAGCTAGTAATTCTCCTGTGTATACTGAGAGATTGTCACTGATCCGTTTATTTGATTTCACATTTAATTCCAGTATAATGGACGCTGAACCAATTTTACCATTCACTGTCTTAGATGCATCTGTATATATTTTAAGAAATCCTGCATAAGTTCTATCTATATATCCAGTTACTTCACATTGTGTCACACTTTCCTTCTTTATTTCTAAAAGGCTCATATCTATATTTACTTCTACAAACATTCAAAGTGGGATCACAGATAATGGAACAGTAGGACTTATCGCTTTGTCCTCCGAGCCTGCCTCACTAATCTTACTTTCTATCATCCATCCAAAACTCCTTTGCTGATCTTTCTCTTTTTCTCGACAACTTTCCAGTAGCCTTTGAGTGGGATGACCCCCTTTGTGCCCTTTTAAGTTCACCCAGTAACTTAGTGCCAATTGTGTTCTTCGTAAGGCCAAAGGTAATTCACCCATTTCTACCTGTAGGGCCAAAACTGGTGTTGTCTTCATGGCTCCACAGCACAGCCTTAAAACTTGATACTGTATGATGTCCAACCTGTTCAACAACGTTTTACATGCTGATCCATAATCGAAAACTGATCTGATTAAGCCAATATAAATCATTTTTATACTGGCTCCCCACTCTCTACCCCTCAAACATCTAATAATGTTTATCACTTTCTTGCATCTTTCAACTATTTTCCCTATATGTATTGCCCAAGTAAGTTTCCTGTCAAACCCCATCCCCAAATATCTAAAACAATCTACTCTGTCCAGTTTCTCCCCATACAATTTAAGATTGACTGGAACTTCTGAATTCCTTTTTGTAAAACAAAATTACCTTCATCTTAGACACAGAAAGTCTAAAGCCCCAATATAGTGTCCATTCTTCCAACTTCCCTATCGCTTCTTGCACTTTCTTAGTAATAAAGTCCAAATTTCTACCTCTTTCCCCCTCTTTTCTGCCAATAAAGATACGATAATAGATCTATCTACTCTACTAAATATATCATTTATCATAATAGAAAAGAAAACTGGACTTATTATACTACCATGAGGTATTCCATTTTCTACTAAATGGCTATCCCTAAATATCTGTCCTACTCGTACTGAAATTACCCTTCCGTTTAGAAAATTTCTAATCCATCTATATAGTCTTCCCCTAAATCCTATTTGATGTAGTTGAATAAGCAGTCTCTCCTTCCAAAGCATATCATAAGCCTTCTCAATATCAAAAAAACACAGCCACTACACTTTCTTTATTAACTTGAGCCTTCCTAATTTCATGTTCTAAACACAGAACAGAGTCCACAGTTTGCCTGCCTTTTCTGAAGCCACTTTGATAGCCCTGTAAAATGCCTTTGTTTTCCAATTAATAGATTAATCTTTCATTGATGATACAGTGCCTTGCGAAAGTATTCAGCCCCCTTGAACTTTGTGACCTTTTGCCACATTTCAGGCTTCAAACATAAAGATATAAAACTGTATTTTTTGTGAAGAATCAACAACAAGTGGGACACAATCATGAAGTGGAACGAAATTTATTGGATATTTCAAACTTTTTTAACAAATAAAAAACTGAAAAATTGGGCGTGCAAAATTATTCAGCCCCCTTAAGTTAATACTTTGTAGCGCCACCTTTTGCTGTGATTACAGCTGTAAGTCGCTTGGGGTATGTCTATCAGTTTTGCACATCGAGAGACTGACATTTTTGCCCATTCCTCCTTGCAAAACAGCTTGAGCTCAGTGAGGTTGGATGGAGAGCGTTTGTGAACAGCAGTTTTCAGTTCTTTCCCCAGATTCTCGATTGGATTCAGGTCTGGACTTTGGCTTGGCCATTCTAACACCTGGATATGTTTATTTGTGAACCATTCCATTGTAGATTTTGCTTTATGTTTTGGATCATTGTCTTGTTGGAAGACAAATCTCCGTCCCAGTCTCAGGTCTTTTGCAGACTCCATCAGTCACAAGGCACTGTATTTTCCATAACTTTCTCTACATGTGATGTTAAATCTATTGGTCTATAGCTCTCTGCCAAACTAGGGTCTTTCCCTGGATTACAAATAGGTACAATTATGGATTCCTTCCATCGCTTAGGCAAAACTCCCCCGTTCCATATTTGGTCTTTCCCAGGAGTGGTCTTACCAGATTTCTGTAAGACATTATTCAATTCTGTAAGTGAAAACAACATATAGTACTGTCCTCATCCCTATCATTTTGCAGTCAATCTATATTTCCTGCTCTTGTTCTATCTCTCCCTTCTATTTCCTCTCTACACTATGTACTTTAAGGTACAAAGTCGTTGTTTGTGATTTCAGTTTAAAGCGGAACTTAAGGTTGATACACATCTTGTACCGGGTCTTTACAGTGTGACACCCAGCGGAAGTGAGCGGAGGAAGCTCAAGTATGTTTAGCTTCGTGGATGTGTGGAGATAAAGAGTTTGGTGTCGACGTATCGCACAGAAATATTTCAGTTGTAGCCGATCAACAATGTCTTCACTTCAGTCTCTGAGATTTTTCATAAACGAGCGACTAACTGTTGCTGCTGAGGAAATATTCACAGTCTTGGAAAAAACTGTCGTCCAGTACGAGGAAGAGATCGATCGTCAGCGCAGACTGTTGGATATCGTCTGGAAACCCCAAGTAAAGCTGCACAGGACAGGTCTGTAAAACATGAATGATTCTAATGAAACCCACTGGTGAACTGACAGTAAGACGGGAATATGACTCCGCCAGAATTAGAATTCAGAACCATCTTTATTGTCCAGGTGTGTTGGACACACGAGGAGTTAGACTCTGGTACAGTGGCTCTGAATGTGTTTGTACAATGTTCTTCCCTAAAGCAACGAGTTAAGAAGATGAGGCTGAGAGAACAATACAGAAATGTGCAAAGAAGAAAAAGTAATGTGCATTAGGAAAATAAAATTAAGTTTATATATATAAACAGTTTAGATGTAATGTAGCAAACAATACCCTATACAAGCTTTACAACACTTTGAAGGCAGACTGAAAAACTCCAGTAAGAAGCTGATAAATAAGACGCATCCCTCTTTTTTCTCTTTTCTCTCTCATCTCATCATTGATCTTTGTTCCTCCAGAGTTGCCTCAGCAACATGTCCATGAGGAGGAGGAGGCTGTGGCTGACCAGCAGCTCTGTGACCAGGAGGGAAACTCCAGTCTGGACCAAGAGGACCCAGAGCCTCCAGAGATTAAAGAGGAACAGGAGGACGTCCATAGCATTCAGGAGGGAGAGCAGCTTGGACTGAAGCAGGAGACCGATCCCTTTATGTTGACTCCTACTTATGAGGACAGTGACCACAGTGAACCAGAACCAGACAGTGACCAGCAGCTCCTCTCTCACAGCTCTCCTGTAGCTGAGAGCCAGGATCAGAGAGGAAACCAGCATGTAGACTCAGGATCAACCAGTCACAGTAGCAATGTGGACAACTCTCCCATGTCACAGACTGACTCTGATCCTACCACAGGTAACAAGTCCTTCAGATGTGGCACTTGTGGGAAAGATTTTAAGTGTAAGTCAAAACTGAACCAACATTTGAGAATCCACACAGGTGAGAAGCCGTATGTTTGCAGTACCTGTGGGAAAGGATTCAGTCAGAGCTCAGCCTTGACTACTCATTTAAGAGTCCACACAGGTGAAAGGCCATTCCCTTGCAGCACTTGTGGGAAAAGGTTCACGCACAGCAGCAGCTTGCGGATCCACATGAAGGTCCACAAAGGTGAGAAGTAGGGTAGCAACAGTGTGAGATTTTCCCAGTATATTAACTGTCTTAGAAAATATCATGATTTCACTGTATCATGGTATAACATACTGCACAATTACCATTATCAAAGTTTTTAAAACAAAAGATTTTTTTACTGCAAACCAGGTCCGAAATTAACACTCACCAGGTGCCAGAAGCAGGTAGACTTTCATTTTACCTGCTGGGAACACCATGACAGCCCTGCACAGGTGACAATGGAAACATTGCCAAGCTGTGTTTTATTGCAGAAGTGGTTTTTCATGTAGTCCTGGTTTCATGTCAGATACTGATTGGAATTGTGTTCTGATCAGGTTTATAATGACTTACACAGATTATACAGCACTAAGACGCTCACATTCATTTCATGTTGAGTCCAAATTTGAACACTCTGGGACTGTTGTTATGAAAGGTCTCGGGTGATTTTTCAGCTGTGAGCTCATGAGGTGAGATGTGACATGTGTGAAAGGTAATCTTTAGACTTTGTTTAAATTTTTAAAACTGCTGCGATTATGAGTCTGCAGATGTTTGATATGGCCGTGCCTTAAATTTATTAAAGCAGCTTTGGGATATGTGTTCAGAATTCTAATGCAGGATATTGGTTCCCAGGAAGCAGAAGAGGAGCTCAGAGAAAACTAAGTAAAGAACTGTTGTGATCAGAAGGTTGGTAGTTGAGAGCCAGTCCCAGGTAAACCTAGTGGAATATGTAGACAGTACTGGAAAGAGAATTAGTATACAGGTCAAAATCTGAGTGTGACTATTAGTGAAGCTTATAAAGACGTCTCTTTAATGTTTTGGTTAGCCATGCTGCTAGCATGAACACAAGCAGAAAATATTCAGAATTAAAAACACCACTGGCTACATATGTGGAAAGGGTTAAAGTTAAAATCACAAAAGAATGGTTTTATTATTTGCTTGTTTTATTCAGCTAAATCATTAGCAATTATTTTTTCCTTCAAAACAAGCAAAACATTTGTTGGTAAAAATATAAAATCTGTATGTTTCCTAAAGCTGGTGTTGAAACCTAGATGAAAACCAGAAGTCTAGACCACTTACCCACACAGGACAACAGAACAGTATAAAATATATAACCAAGAATTACTGCATTGTGGTGGTATGCCTCCTCCAACCAACCAAATTCATGAACTCTCACAAACATGAGAGAAAACAGTGACCTTGACCTTTGACCACCAAACTGACTTTACCGGTTGCCAATAGTAAATGTAAAATGATTGATCAGGACATGTGCAGAATATTAATTATCATGTCTCATGAGCTGCCTTTATTTTGTTCATGGATTTGATTTCAGATCAGTGAGTCTCAAGGACGTTGTCAGCTCTGCAGCTCTCACTCATCTACACCCTCTCATAGCAACTTGCAGCACAATGGCAGATGAATTATAGAGCAAACCTAAATTCCTACATTTTTCAGGAAGTAGTAAATAGTGGATTTTCTTTCTTTTCTCTCTCCTTCTTCCACTCACCCCAACCACTCGGGGCAGAAGGCCATCCATCAAGAGCCAGGGTCTATCAGAGGTTTCTTCTATTATTGACTGATATGAAGTTTCTGCATTTGCTAATTTGTATTTTTTTACATTTTATTCTTAAGTTTAAAGAGGAAGTGGCTGTTATTTGAATATCTTTATTTCATCACTACATTAAGTTCATGCATCAATGTGAAAATGATGACATTTTACAGGCTTTACAACACTTTTAAGGCAGACTAGAAGCTTCCAAAAAGAGCTTTGTGAATAAGAATCATCCGTCTTTTTCCCCTCTCACTACATCAGTGACCTGGTCCCTGTGTCCCTTTGTCCCTCCAGAGCTGCCTCAGCAACATGTCTGTAAGGAGGAGGAGGAGGTTGTGGTTGACCAGCAGCTCTGTGACCAAGAGAGAAACTCCAGTCTGGACCAAGAGGACCCAGAGCCTCCAGAGATGGAACAGGAGGACGTCTGTAGCAGTCAGGAGGGAGAGCAGCTTGGACTGAAGCAGGAGACCGATCCCTTTATGTTGACTCCTACTTATGAGGACAGTGACCACAGTGAACCAGAACCAGACAGTGACCAGCAGCTCCTCTCTCACAGCTCTCCGGTAGCTGAGAGCCAGGATCGGAGAGGAGACCAGCATGTAGACTCAGGGTCAACCAGTCACAGTAGCAATGTGGACAACTCTCCTATGTCACAGACTGACTCTGATCCTACCACAGGTAACAAGTCCTTAAAATGTGACACTTGTGGGAAAGGATTCAGGCAGAACTCAAACTTGGGTAGACATTTAAGAATATGCACAGGTGAGAAGCCATATTCTTGCAAAATATGTAGAAAAAGGTTTACATGTAATCAAAACGTGTTGGTCCACATGAGAATCCACACAGGTGAGAAGCCGTGTGTTTGCAACATTTGTGGGAAAGGATTCAGGCAGAACTCAAACTTGGGTAGACATTTAAGAATATGCACAGGTGAGAAGCCATATTCTTGCAAAATATGTAGAAAAAGGTTTACATGTAATCAAAACGTGTTGGTCCACATGAGAATCCACACAGGTGAGAGGCCTTATGTTTGCAACACCTGTGGGAAAGGTTTCAAGCAGAGCTCACAATTGGATGTTCATTCAAAGATTCATACAGATGAGAGGCCTTATGTTTGCAACACCTGTGGGAAAGGTTTCAAGCAGAGCTCACAATTGGATGCTCATTCAAAGATTCACACAGGTGAGAGGCCATATTCCTGCAGTAACTGTGAGAAAAGTTTCTGTACAGCGTCAAATTTGAAAAGACATGTAAGAATTCATACAGGTTAAGAGTTGTATTCTGGCAAAACGTGGAGGAGCTTTCAGACGTAGTGCTGATATTCCATAAAATGAAAGATTTATCACAAGTTACTAACAGCTGTCATCTGAGGGTTGGATGAGAATTTTTGGAGGCCTCTTAAGCCGAGCAGATGCTGTACAACTTTTATTGATCGTATACGATGTGTTAACAATGTGGGTGTTCACTCTGGATGTTTAAACAGAACTCTGGAGTGGATGTGTCCATTGACAAGTCCAGTAAAGTTTAGGCCAACCAAAGAAAAACAGCATTACTTTTAGCCATTATACTTTGTACAGCTGATGAACAGCAGTAATCTCCTGTCACTATTTTTCTTGCTGCTGCAGATCATGATACTGTTGTGTGGTGCTGCCAGAGCTCATTTAACCTCGTCCATATATACAGTATATAAATATACTTGGCCTATGGCCTTGTTTCAGTTGATTGTGTCCACAAAATATGATCTAATTTGGGCCATGTTGTTATGTAGTCTTTGTACTCACTCTAGTGCACTGAACTAACTTCAGACCGTGGACCTGCAAGACAGCTGACAACATTTCTGACATGCTAGAAACCCATCTGATCCATCAGAAGCTAGGTCGTTGGTTGTTCAGGTGATTAATCTGGTGCCAGGACCCTGCTCATACTGTAAGTCAGATCGGTGGTGTTTCAGTCCTTTGGTGGCCAATAATGTCCCCCCTAACGACTGAGTCGTTATAGCCCAGTATTGGTGAGAGTCGTTACCTGTCTTTGAATCCTCCCCTGTCGACCGACGCCTATTGTCAACACAAACTGGGAGTCATCAGAACTTCAAATCACAGGGCAGAGGAAGTGCCCACAACTGCAGAAGGGGCCAAGAAGGAGGAAATACACATCCAGAACTCGGTGAAGGTTTGTGGATACCCTATGTGGGCCTTCACCAAAGCAAGGAAGAGGCCCAATACAAACAGGGAGAAATCAGAAACAAGAGGGGATAACACTGTCATCCCTTATGTGGCTGGTTTAAACCAGGGAACACCCTGCAGCAGAGACTGGTCCACCTGAAGGACAAAACACCCAGACACAAACAGAGTGATGTGGTGTATGCCATTAAGTGTAGTCAGGAGTGTAACGACTTGTACATTGGTGAAACTAAGCAGC